GGGCACACAGGAAAAATATCAGCCTACACTGATTATGATGCGTTCCGATACTAAATATTTTTCAGATTTGCACAAGATGGAGGGAAATGAACACGTAGTTCTCCTGCATAATTGTGCTCATGTGATTTAGTGACTGATCTTTGCTCGAACTGTCCTTTTAACAGCCAAGAGTACAAAGTAATACCTGAAATATGATATTCATTGCCAGTCTGCAAGCTATTATGATCAATAAAGGAAGATGGGTTTTATATGGAAATGGAATCCCTGTCAGATTCTCCCCACATAGTCAAAAGGACTTTTCAGGTCCTGCTGACAACAAAGCCAATAAAGAAAAGAAAAGCTAGATGAGCTTTTCAGCAGCAAAATGTATTAGGACACATTTTCAGTTGGCTCTGTACTCCAGCATATTGGATTCAAAATTGAGCTATGATTATGAGGTTAAAGTTCTGGCCCTCAGCTTTAATTTGATGGTGTTTACAGCCACAGCAATGTATTTGCAAGTCACGAGGCATCATCCCTAAAACCTTTCCACTCCGTAAGATCTCTGCTGGTACACCCTGAAGACAGGAGGGCTGGAGGAGTGTGTGACATCAAATGCAACTGTGGGGAATATTACTGTGGACTGGTGAAACGACAAGAGACTGAATTAAAACTGGTCGATAATCAGTCAACATCAGCTGTCTATGAAGGCCATACCAAAACTGGTTACAGCCCCGACTGGGAAGGGGTCAAAGTTCATCAACCAGTGGACGGTTGACGAAAGATCAAAGAGAACATTCACATCCGACACCAGAGACAATCAGAAAAGACTGGGGTTGCCAGGTCCCACCCTATAGACACTTTTACTTTTTTAGTGCTTTTACAAAGAAAACTGTCCAAGAGATCCTCTAGAACCAGTTACTACTTGGTTTAATATTTGATTCTCAAATTCTTTGCAGTCAATGAGGTTGTGTACTGATTTGTGTACTGGTAGCTGGAGAGGGGCCAGTTCACCTCCTGGACACTGCCGAGGTAATCAATGAGCGAGGTACTGAACCCGTAAGTGTTCCTTCAGCACTGCTATGGAGCAGCCCTTCACTCCTCCAACTCTCTCTCCATATTTGCATGTCCATGAGCTGTGTGTGTGTGTGTGTGTGTGTGTGTGTGTGTGTGTGTGTGTGTGTGTGTGTGTGTGTGTGTGTGTGTGAGTTTCCCCATTGTGGATTAATAAAGTAAATCTTTCACTCACAAACACATTATCATGAGGTCATGTGAGGTCCAAACCTCCATGTTTGACTAGCATGTTTCGGCTCATTATCCTAAAATTAAGGAGACTAATGTATGAATAAAACTAGCTACAATTCTGTTCATCTGATTCAAAACTAAAGTTTCTTAAAGCTGAATGTCAGCACTTTAACCTTACAGTCAGTTTCATTTCAAATCCAATGTGCTGGTGTAGAGCCAACACAATACAAATGTGTTGCCATCTTATTGCTTTGTAACTATACTGTCTGTATGCTTTATAAGTAGTGAATGGTAATTAATCCAAATGACAAGTCTAACAATCAAATATTAATGGAGATGGAACAAAATGACCCTCTTTATATAGAAACCAGAGAAATGCCCTCACATTTGTACTCCATTCTAGTCACAGATCATTGAATACAGCCCACAGTCAGTGCTTTGGTAATCTTCCACATTTCATAGGAATAGCTGAGTTGACAACTCACTGAGACAAGTTGTTTCTCTTTTTATTAAAAAAAGATCACTGACTTCATTGCTTCTGTATTACTTTTATGCAAGTTGCTAAAACTCATTCCAAGTTGATTTCCCGCTGTATTAGATCCCAGTAATATTGAACTGGCAAAGAGCAGCATCAGATCTGCTCAACAGGTGTGATGATCCGTCATGATTAACAGAAGGTAATTCATTAAAAAGTGTCATAGACAGTAGAGATTAAATATAAATTAGGCTCGATCATCTGAGTCACAGCAAACACTTCATCATGTTGTTAGCTGTTGGTAGCTAGCCCCATGACTTCCAGTTAGTTTTGTATCAGACTCAGTGGCATGATATATTGTAATCAGCAGGTCGACTATGTGATGTGTCTCATTTTCATACCAAATGTTGCCCTGCATAAGCAATACATCACAGTACATTTCCTCAGAAGCTGACACATCATAAATTAAAAGTTCGCCTTTTTTGCTAGCATTGCTTATTAGCGCAGGGAAAAAAATGAAGGTAGGGAATGACGGAGCGGAGAGGAAGACAGGGAGGAGAGGAGGCGAGAGGTGGGAGCTTATTGCCTGTCAGATGCCCTGCAATAATTTGTAAGAGGCCTGCGCTTAGATCAAGCAGAATTAGCAATCATCATTCACCTTGAGATGTTTAGCCAGGAGCCTGCCAATTTAATGAACCTGGCCCAAAGCCAATGCTAATCCACTAAAGCACCTGCATTACAGTTCATCTTTAGAGTAGTGACTGTGAACATAAACCTCACCACCTAACAACTTTTAATTGTTGTTTCACAAATACATTTCCAGCTGCTTTACAATGATTGATTTCATATATGGGCCATAAAGTATTACAAGGTCAATTAAAGTCATTTAATAATTAAAATAATTAAATTAAATTGCTTCCCTCTTTTAAAGGTGCAATATTATAAAACTACACTCTTCGTGATAAGGTCTGTGTGTCTCCCAACCTAATTATAATACAATTTATTTACTCAGTGTTTTCCTATAATGTGTGTTGAGTGATTACAAGCAATTCCACCACACCCTAGTAGTGTCTACTGTAGCCATTTAGATGTTACTGGTTTAATTTCTCAGAATATCCACATTTATCAAGTGTCAGAAGGTTGTGAGGCTAAAGACTTTAGAAGAGAAGAGTTTGTGAAGGAGCTTTTGCTAAAAACTTTGAAAGTATCACCTGATCTGCATATTAAGATACAAAGACACCACCCAAATGCTCTACTATTGTGCGCTTTCTGGATTTCAATGTCAAAGAACACATGTTGGAGCTTGCACGAAGACAACAAGTTACATTTCAGGGGAAACTCTTTTGATTTACCACCCAGACCTGCAAAAGAGTAGGGGAAAGATGCATCAGGCCATTAAACAGCTGAAGGGAAAGGAGATATGCACCAAGTATCTCTAGCCGGAAAAACTCAGGATGACAGATTCAGGAGAGAAGCAGTTTGAAACCCTGGTGGATGCAATTCCAGCACTGAAAGACATGGGAATTAATACTGAAATCCATGTGTGAGAGAGAGAGAGAGAGAGAGAGACTACAGCGAGAACTGACTGAATAAATTAAAGTTTTTGAGTAACTGGCCCAACACTGCTGCTGGAAGTTCTATGTTCTCCCTTACATGTGAAAGGGGAACTGTTCAGATTGGTTTGTTATGTGTTTTCTTTTCCTTGACAAATGTTTTAAGCTCATATATTAGGGAAGAAACAAACGAGGACCAATATATCAAGATTGACAATATGACAGGCTTAAACTGTATTAATATAAATGGTCTTAACAATCCAATTAAGAGGAAAAAACTGTTCCGACAATTAAAGAAAATGCAATGTTCCATATCATTTATTCAAGAAACTCACTTATCAATAAGTGAGCACTGGAAAAAGGGAATGGGTGGACCACATAGGGAAAGAAGAGAGGAGTGGCTATATTATTGAATAAATCTGTCTGTTTTACCAAAGAGCATGAAGTTGAGGATAACCAGTGTAGATATGCCATGGTCCTATGCGTCAATTGGAGGAATAGATTGAACTTTTCTAAATAAATGCATCAAACGAGGAATTGCCCTAACTTTTTTAAACATATCACCTAACTTTTGGCTGACAATGCCAAATTAATTATTATGACTGTGTACTAAATGAAAAAATAGATAAAATCCCTGTAGATAGTGGACCCATTTCTAAAAAATCTAGATCACTGAACACAATTATATAAAAAATAAAAGGAATTTATGGATGTGTGGTGTTGTCACCCCAGGCAAAAATACTTTACTTTTAGGTCAGGAATCCATGGTAGTTATTCTCAGATATATCTCAAGTTAAATCCTGTAATATTGAACAAGTTACCATCTTAGATCATAGTCCTGTAATTCTGCAACTTCACTTTGGAACTAATAAGTCTTTTAAATATTGGCGGGTCAATGTAATAATGGGAGTGTTTCACCATCAATTTTATGGGCTGTAATGAGAGGTAAAATGATTTCAGTGTCAGCTGCATTAAAGCTGCAGTAGGTGACTTTTATAAACATGAACTGATTGTCATATTCTCAGAAACTTTCACTATATCATGACAGATAATCTGTGAAAAATTAATTCTGATTCATCTGGCTCGTTCTAACGATCATTTGTAAAAATCCACCGGGCCTGAACAAAAGCAACCAATCACAGTCAAGAAAGATGGAAAGAGGAGGAGAAAACTCTAGCAACCACTGACCATGACACAGCTATCTTTCTTTCTTGCAAATCGGGATTTAGGAGCACTACAACAAGGCAAAGGAACCTGAAAATTATATTAAAAAACCTAAAGAGTTTAGAGGAGTGAGAAAAGTCTTTTAAAAACTGTAGACAAAAAGTAGATGAATGTTGACATATAAAACAGAAGGGGCCATCAGGTTTACTTGTTGGACTTACAAGTTGGGTAGTTCATTCAGTGGTAATGCAACTCTAATGCCTTTTCTGCCTGTAAAACAAAGAGAGAATCAAACCCCTCTCTGTATGCAAACTTACACTAAAGTCCATACATTTTGTACTTGAGTAGAACTTGATTCTATTCTTTTACTATATCATAGCTTTATGGTTTACTAAGGAACTATTTTATTAACTGATAAACTGATGTTTATAGTTGATAAACCAAAGCCTGTCAGAACCTGTGCCTGTCAGGGTGTGTGACCTGTTTTTGTTCCATGTTTTCATTCACCTTTAACACAGGGAAGCAAAGTAAACAACTGGAAGAGGCTGGGCAGAGCTGAGCTGCACTTTAAAAACAAGTCACACAAGCCGCCCCTTCAGTTGACTCCAATCGATTCCACCATGTTTGCTTCAGCCATCCTGCTATGCCTCTGTGTTCTCTTCATCCTCCTTCAACTCACAACCCGAAGACCCAAGAACTTTCCACCGGGACCCCTTTTACTGCCAATAGTGGGGACCATTTTGCACCTGACCCTAGATAACCCCTTGGCGGACCTTGAAAGGGTAAGAACAAACACTGAAATGTTGCTCTTCCAGAATCTTAAAGGGATAGTTTGGGGTTTTTTGAAGTGGGGTTGTATGAGGTACTTAATCACAGTCAGTGTATTATCTACAGAATATAGCGCTCAGCACGCCCCCAGTTTGGTGAAGCAGACATTAATACCAGCACAGAAGCTATGCAATGCACTGCTGTGGGTGGAGCAGCAATAAAACTTATTTTAGCCACCTAAAATAAAACGTACTATCTTAAGAATATTTTCCTTGCCGTAAGACAGACCTTTCTAACCAAAACCTCAATTGTTTATATGGGGTTTAGTCTGGTGGCTTTGGAGTGATAGATATAACAGCTTCAGTTTCCAGTTGGAAAGGGCTATGTGACAGAAAGGCAAAATGATGAAAATATTCTGAATATATATACATTCATGTATAAATTGTATATGTTTTGTTGCTGCCCCAACCCACAGCAGTGCATTACTTATATTATGTGCTGCTACGCCTGCTTTCTATTACAAAGGTGGCGTGCTGACCTCTGTCTACCGTAGGTTATAGCCAACTAGTAGTACAGGTCATACACATTGGGTGTTTTATAACTTTGGACTTTAGACTTTGGCCCTAAGAGTAAATGTCTTTCTATAGCACTGTACATCAGACAATAACAGCACACAACAGCACACAGGAACACATTACAATGAAAACAGTACACACCCAGTTCAGTTCAGCGAAGCCTGTTAACTTCCACACAATGCAATGGATGACTTCAGGGTTATGTGATGAGATCTTCACTGCTAAAATCTCAATAGGATGTAGGATTTATAAATGTTTTTGTTTTTCAAACCTTTGAGCAATAGAAACAAAAAACATCCCAGAAATCCAGCTAAAGTCTCAATATTTCATCATCATTTTTATCACCATTGAACCCTGAGCATAGTCTTTTTATCTGAAGTTTAACTCATGTCAGCACAAGCTGGTCTGGCCCACACCCATCCCATCTGTCTTTTATGTATTTAACCTTATTTAAACAGGATGTCCCTTGAGATTAAAACCTCTCTTTTGAGGGAGACCTGGCCAAGATAACACACCATACAAGGTTACTACAAAAATATTATGAAATAGAGTATGTTAAAAAAACAAACAAGGGACAACAGATATATAGTACAAAAGCCAGATTAGCAGTCTCTTCAGTTACAGGTTTTTATCTTTTGAACTCTTCCAGGGAGTCAAAAACACTAAACTGTACTAAACCTAAGGTTGAAGGTTATTCCATGACCAGGTTGCAAAATAGGAGAAAGCTCTACCATGTTCTGAGAAAATCTGGGGTACCTGGTAGCACAGCCATCTAGTGGAGCTGTTGGTGAGTGATAGGAGATTACACAGGTATGAATGGAGTTTACCCAGTAGTGCTTTGTAAATAAAATATACCAATGCTGCTGTCTTCTTAGGCCTAATGAAGACTAGGAGACCAGATCATAAAGTTCACAGTAATGTTTACAGGGCAAAGAGTTGGATGTAAAACATAGAGAACTGTGATACACAGAGTCAAGGCAGCAAAGTGTGGAGGAGGCAGCATGCAAAAATAATGTCCCTATAGTCTAGAACAGTGGTTCTGAACCTGGGGGTCGCGTGATGATTTCTGGGGTCGCCAAATGGTGGTAGAGAATAAAATAACATTGTGGCAAGTATTTTGGAATGAGAGATAGGAAGCAGCTCTTAGAGATGTCATCCCTTTAATGACATTTAACACGGGACAAGAATGCAAAAACATTATAGACTATATATGCTGTTTTTATACACGTTAACAGGCCCAGTTACCACAATAATATAAGAATGTATTTCTATATATACGTGTATATAAAGTGTGCTTTACGGCCTTAGGCAGACATATTGACTGTGAAAGTGAACACAAACCAGTTCATCCAGGGGGGGCTGTGACTCTAAAAGGTTAAAAACCACTGGTCTAGAACACTTAAAAATGTAGCCAGTACAACCGTTTTCATGACTGTTAAATTAAGGCCTATTTCAAAAATAAAACCCCAGCCTAACCTTAAGTACTTGGATTTAGAACCAACTTTAGACCATACAGTGATGCCTGTTGCTGTTGAAAGGCTGCCTGGAGCTCATCAGCAGTCTGACTCAGAAGAGTTAACTGAGCAGACTGTTCATCATTATGCATCATCTGCATAAAGATGCACTTTAGCTGTATGTCCAAATGTCATCAAGCCAGTAGCTGCTGAAATAACAGATCACAACATGTAGTGTTTCTTAATGTTTGTATTATTGTGTGATACGTCTAGCTAAATTTCTCTCACTGACAAATGAGCAGGGGAAAAAAAATTAGCCAGCCAAATTCTGGTAAAATACACAAGTCGCTGGTAGATTTGTTTCCCAATTTTGCACCCTGCTGATGAGTCTGATATCGTCTGTTTTTGCCATGATGCAAGCAAAATGTCCCATGTGAGATATTTGAACTAAACTGAACTGAACTTAACTAAGTGGGCAAAATATGTTCTTGTGATTTCAGTGAATTGCCCCTTTAAAGAGAAATATCCATCTGAAATGGTGTGATATATATGTATTTCAAACACTGACATGTTTTCTCATTCTCTCCCAGCTGAGGAAGACCTATGGAAATGTCTACAGTTTGTTCTTCGGTTCCAGACCGGCTGTGATCGTCAATGGAGTGAAGGCCATGAAAGAGGCTTTAGTGACCAACGCCAAAGATTTTTCTGGACGACCCCAAGACCTGTTTATCAGCAAAGTCTCCAAGAATGGAGGTAGAACAGATATGACATGTGATAGGGTAGAGAATGCATTATCAAACTTACAAACTAAGTCTTATGTCAGTAATGTGTCTCTTTCTATGCATGTACTGTATATAGGCATTGGGTTGTTACCAGTATAACTATACATCTTTACGAATGCAAATACGGATACAACGGCAAAGGTCGTTTATGAGTTTACATAGAGGATATGTATGTTCACACAATAAAGCCCTTCAGTTTATCGGAAAAAGGGAGCTAGTGCCATAACTGATAATCGTCTCCCTTTAATCAAAACCATAACACCTAACTGTATTTCCTTAACCTTGCTGCTCTAGATGGTTTGATACACAGAACAATCTGGGAAGTCGTCATCGTAAACAGTTTGGAAAATAACAGAAAGGTTTTTTTCTGGAATACAAAACCTGGATTTCATCATTTTTATCATACGTTTTTTCCAGTCTAATTGATAAGAAGTGCCACTCTACTCTATGAAAGGGTCTCTCTGTATCACATGATAATTCAATATCTATTGAATGTAACAAATGAAGCAGTCTACATACACTGTCACCTGCTAGGCGTGACTTCATGAACCCAGCCCTTACCAACTCCATTATCAAAATAGGAAGGTAGTTTAGGGCACAATTTTGATTTGCCCAAATACAGTGGGTACTTGACATCATAGGAAAGATAATACTGAAACATATCTGGGACATCTAGGACCCCCCAATACACCTGGGAATAATGAATTTCTTTTAGGTTATCCTGGGCTTCTTCTTTCTCAGAAGATAACAAATGCAAAGGGAGAGGTTTAGAAGATACAGTATGACACCTAGGCAAACATCACTCTAACTCAAACAGAAGCAAAGGTAATGGCACCCATCTTTATGTCATTATAATGTATTATAGGGCCAGCAAGCCTAAAAATGTGATAGTGGAAATTAGATTAACCCCAAAGTGCTTCTTTAACTTTGTTTTCCAAAGAGGGTGCCAGATTAAAGGTAGGGATATAAAGAAGAATTGCCTGACTTTCATTTGAATTAATGTTGTACATGTAGGGTGCATGCCAAATAAAGGTGTGGAAGAATCTGGTCTGTTTATATTGAGAAGAATCCCTTACCCTCACATCTGGACACATGTTTAATTTAAAACCATAATCATGAAGATTTACACCATAGATGTAATTGCTGGCATGAATTGAGCACATTAATGATTTAGTGCCAAAAATTAAAAATATCAGATGGACAGGGCAGCCCTACCGGACCCCATGCTGAATTTAAAAGGGTCTGGAGACAAGATTATCAGTTCCAGCTAATGATTTTAAGACTGATCAGAAGCTTTTTCTGCTTCAAGTGATGCAGCAATGACTTGGAGAATTTCTAGTATTTGCTTTTGAATACAAAGAACAGCAATGATCACATCAGACTGATATTTTGAGACAATTGCAGGTGTGGTTCTGGCAGATTATGGCCCCAGATGGAAGGACCACCGTCGCTTTGCCCTGATGACCTTAAGGAACTTTGGTATGGGGAAGAATTCCATGGAGGACAGGATTCATGGAGAGCTAAAATACACCATTGATACACTGGAAAAAAGCATTGGTATGTCATCTGTCAATATATTAATAATATATTGTAAATTTATTTTAAAGAGGCCTCCCACCATGAGCTTGTGCTGCCACAATTTTCATTGTGCTATATTAAACCTGCAGTGCAGAACTTGTATCTCCCCCCTTTTGCAGTGAGGGTAATTACAAAAATACAAAACACATAACAGTCTGAAATCCACCACAGTGTGTTACACAGTCAGTGCTCAATACAAACACACAGTTCAACTAACAGTCTAACAGTGAATGAGTCGTAAATACTCACTTTGAGGCGACAACTTCTGTGACTGTGGAAGTGCCAAAAATTGCAGTTCCTCAAACATCCATTTGAGGCTGGCTCCAGAAACACATTAACCTCCATTAAAATGCCGAACTATACAGAAATAAATTGTACAGTGTGGTACAAAAAACATTTTTGAACTCTATAACTAATTTCCCAGTTCTTGACAACTGTACAGGGGTTGAGTGTTTATATAACTCACCCGTTTGAATTATATTAAGTCATGCATAATTAAGAGTGTTGCCGCTTTGAATGAGAGGTGGATGCCATCACAGTCAGCTGTTTTCAGTAACCAGGCTTCGCTCAGCCTCAGCTCCAGCTCTTTGCCTGTATTCTTTAGAAAGCTAAGGTTGATATCACAGAGACTACGTCTATGTTTGAGACATGCACCCCTTGGCCAACGAAAATAAACCCAACCTACGCTTCTTGTGTGTAATAGACAAGCTTAATGATTCTCCAACAACTCTGGAGTTACTTCCCCTGATCTGGCCAGTACACTGCTGTCAAGTTTGATGGTAGCTCTGTTAAGTAATTACAGGATGGAGTTGAACGGGTGAATTATGTAATACTGGCTTTTTGGCTTGTTGCCAGGGGTTGGCAAGCTAATTGCTCATCACTTTCAAGATGAACTAGGCTTCTTTCATTTGTGAGTAGCCTAGATGCGCCCTTTTGGGTTTAAAATGCTGGCATTAATATTGGTTCTTCAGTGCTGGTCCACCTCAGACTCCAGATTTAAAAACTCTGTTTACTTCAAAATGCAGAAAGATTTACCTGGCAGTGATTGGCTTAATCAGCATTGTGTTTGCCAAGGGCTTGAATGTAACAGACATTTATTTATCTGAAGTCCCACACCGCAGCTTTAATGTATAATGTTCCTTTTTTTTTATTCTTGTACAATGTTGTGTGATACTAAAGTCTACACTTTGTCTTTTACAGGCAAAAGCATGAGTCCTCAAGTTATGTTCCATAATGCGTCCTCCAACATCATCTGCCAGGTTCTGTTTGATAGACGCTACGAGTACAATGACGATTTCATCAAAGTGGTTATTCAGTGCTTCACTGAGAATGCCAAGTTAGTCAATGGACCCTGGGTTATGGTGAGTCAAAGCATGTTTCTGAGGTAACACCCCAAAGCTCGGGAATGTTTTTCACACACATGGTGGGGTGTAAGAAAGGCCAAAACTGGAAGAAAGGCAAGGTGGGGCTCGTTCACGTACGGTCAATTTCATGACTGGCATATATAAAGGAAAGGTGCGCAGGACCTGGCGTACAACTGGTTTTTATACACGTGGATATTTCTTTACTTACGTACTTTTCAAGTTTTGTGAGCATGCCTTCTTTCAGTATGAAAGCTGTGCAGTCTTTTATACATGAGGCCCCTGGAGTCTAAAGCCACACTCATGGCTCTGTGAGGCTGAACTTGGACACAGCAGTGCTAACTTAAGCTTGCTAACATGCTCACAATGACAATACTAATATGCAGAATCATCTTAGTTTAGTATGTTGGCATGCAAACGTTTGTTGATTGGCAGTGAACTAAAAGTACATTTGTGGCTGATGGTAATGCCATTACTTTTGTGGTTATTTGATAATGAATGACAAATTAACATTTTGACTTCCTAGTGGCACTAGATGAAAAGTCAGGATCGCCAAAGGTACGAGGTGGTGGACCAACCTACCGACAGACAAACCAGCCGGCATCCAGTTTTAGCTGTGCAGCTAGAATGTGTCTAATAAAATAAAATATCTAATAAAGTCATCCGTGTAGAGCAGTTAGTGCTAGGAAGCAGAATTTGCACGTTTGGGCTCAAATAAACTAATGATTTATCTTTTTTACAGCTGTATGACTCCTTTCCCTTGGTTCGTAACCTGCCGCTGCCCTTCAACAAGGCCATTAAGAATTATGAGGTATGTTCATTGGGCCAAGAGATTTACTCTAAATATGTATTATAAGTTATGAAAAAGGCCTGAATTTAACAAACAATATTAAATTGAGGACTAAACATACAAGAGAAAAGGAAAGATATGAACATCAATGTTACAATGGATTTTTTTCAACCTCACACAAATACACAATGACAACCAACACATATGCACTTCAACAGTGGAAAGAAAAAGTGGAAACATTTTGTGTTTGTGATTATTTGGCTAAATAATAATAATGTTGAGAGGGTGTGTATGTAAATTTTCCTTGCAGTATGCCAATCAGAAAAGGGTTTGCATTTGCGCTGCAGTCTTTAGTAATGCATTTATTGAAGCTGAAAAAAACAAGACACAAACTCAACCAATAAGTAAAAGAATAATAAACACACATTGTGGCCAAGCACCTAGGGTGGTTTAAATTTTTTATTAAGATATAAGAGCAGGGAACAACTAGTCCATGGTCAACCAGAGTGAGTCAGTAAAGTGACTGAAACAAAGTTCTTAAACTATGTTCATTATGTAGACCGAAAAGAAACAACTTCAATTTGGGACAATGGTTGTCTGGGGTAGTTCAAAGTAGAATTCGGGACAGTAATTTCAAGCCCTGAAAGTGAGGGGTTTACAGATCCACTTTTAAACCTCCCAACCTGCTCACAGACGCAGACACAGACTGTTTAACCAATACAACTATTCTTTATTAAGGATGTTCAAAAACATGTATTTACTAAAATCATACATCATGTTCCATCATTATTGTGATAGCTTCCATTTAGCCAACAAAATACACTTTATACGTTTTATGTAGTTCCTTCAAAGTCTAGGTCTATATATTATATGAGTCTAGACAGACATGGATGTAAACTGCAACTTTTCAGGGCATTGCTCCCTCTGGTACAATAATCTTAATAATGTCCTGTAGTGTGTGATGCACCATTATTTTTAAATCTGTGCATGTTTGAGAATAGAGAGTGTGTGAAGTTTCTCCTTATGTGCGTGATACAAACGGTTTTGAAAATCAGTAAGGATTTTAAAACTCTATGTTTTTCAGACTTGTCAGAATCTTGTGCATGGCTTGGTGGCCGAGCATAAGAAGACCAAAGTCACTGGAGAGCCTCGAGACTTTGTTGACTGCTATCTGGATGAAATAGGAAAGGTTTGTGTGTGTGTGTGTATGTATATTGGGGGTTAAGACAAGTCAGTACCAAATGCATGCTTGTGTATATTTAGTACATTGTTTAATACGTGTGTGTCTGCCCACCCATTCCTTCTTGGGCACAGGAATGATTGTGGAAGCATGGGGGTATGACTGAGCCAAGGGACAGGTTGAATATCATTGTGAACACATGCTCGAAAGCAATCCTGACATTTTGCTCAAAAGGAGTGATAGATGTGGAATGTGCCCCCTCCCATTATGTAACCTCTGCTCTGTTTGTGCTTGTTGGCAGCTGATGGCCTCAAACGAGAATAAAAGTTGTTGTGTTAGAGACACATAAGAACGACACAAGGAGGAGGGGTTGGGCTTACCATCTGTCATAGTTCTTAGACCTGGTTACATGCCTCTGGGATTGCCCTCCTAGAATTGTTGTCCCTTTTTGCCTCCCTTACTACTATCCATTGTATGCTGCTGCTTTGAAATTGTTCATTCTGCCAGACAGCAACCCTAATTTGTGGGCTGCAGTGTGAGTTTCTGGCACCCCAGAGGATTCTGGTAGTCCATTGTTTCTGGATGGGTACTGTAGTTTTGGGCATAGTTGCTCAGGACATGAGCGTAGAACGGGAGGAAGTGGACATCTGTGTTCAAACACCGTCAAAGTGGATGAACAATGTTTCTTTAACTTTTTATGTGAAGATGAAAACCATATTATCTTCAGTCTTTGCTGCTGTTTATTCCCCCAGACGCAAATTCAAAAGATAGACTGCTAAATTATTGCCTGTGTATGTATGTATATAAGTATATAAATCTCTTCTATATTGTTTGTGTAGTATTAAGGGACTGCAAACTTTCATTTTGTTGTACAAGGTTGTTACATTAGGTTATATATTATAAATAATAATATATAATGATATTATTTATCATTATGTGTTGTATAATGATGACAGACCCAGTGAATCCACTGATGTCCTCGACATTGATGGTGTGTCCTGTAACATGCTCCAGATTGCGTCATGTAGTGCAGAGTGCTTGGCAGCCTCTGATTGATCTGTCCATTTCCTGACCTAACGTGTTGCTGGAGGCATTTGCCATAGTTTTTTTTTACCTCAACATGATGGCTGCGTGGTTTCTCTTCCCAAAACAGGGCACCGATTCTATAGTTGTTTTTGGATGACATAGCAGTGATCCAGAGGGTTTATTCCTCTTGTGGCACTTGTTGATGGAAGCAGAGATGGGGATTCAAGTTTGAGACTTGGACACAAGTCCTGTATCATAGTGTTTGTCTTAAAACAATTATTCTCCTCTTTTTAGAGATCCGATGATGGTTCTTCATTTTCAGAAGAACAGCTGATTAGGTACCTTCTAGATCTTCACTTTGCTGGGACTGACACGACCTCCAACACCCTGCTTACTGCTTTCCTCTACCTTACGACCAAGCCACACATACAAGGTATGCATGCACATGTAAATATGGGTTATTACTTTTCTGTCATTGGCATCTACCATCGTCTTCCTATCTAAAATTTGTATCCACACATCCATCAGTTTTCCATGCCCGAGAATTCTATTTTTTTAAAAGGAAGAAATGTCAAAACGTTTGCTGTGAAAAAGGCCTGTCGTTGACAAGACCCATAGGAATACCCCAACGCCAACTAGGAATACACCTCACTTTTTTACTGAGGATAGTATAATTCAGCAACAGGTACCCTGGTATTCCTGCAGTAAAGGCATATTTTAGCACCCTCTGCCATAGTGGTTATTTCCCCTGTCTGTGTGTTTGTGTGGTGTGGACGTGGTCTCCCTTCCTCGCTTTCATTATACTGCACGCCTGCCTGCAATCGGCTCATCTACCTGCAGCTTATAAACCCAAGCTTTCCTCCCACTCATCGCCAGACTGTGGGTTCTGCCACCGTGGTAGCAAGTCTCAGGCTCAGTTGGTATTTGGATCATGGAGATTTTCCTGTGTTCCAGCTACTTGCATTAATGCTTTGTTGTCTTCTGTGACTTGGGATCCAGGCCTGCCTGCTAACCCACTGTCCCTTGCTTCCTCTTTTGGCCACATTGTCATTCCATTCTCTATTCCTCTCTTCCACCTGCTGTCACCAGCCATCCCATTTTATTGGAGTACCTCACAGTAAATCTGTTATTCATCTGCCTCCTAGTCTGTGTTCTGCACTTGGGTCCACATTTGAACTAAACCTACCAATCCATCATTCAATTAATGTTCTTTACACCATTCCACCTATTGTTTCAGTTCCCTTACCTTATTTACTTTATTTACTTACTAAAAAACACATCAGTTGTTATGCCTGGAGAACTCACAGGAAAGAGGACCCAAACGCAAGAGAGGCAGAAGCAGGATAAATGTTTAAGAATCAGACTTTACTAGCCAAACAAATAGGTTCAGTACACTGGAGGTCAGTCCACACAAGCAAATAAATCCAATTGGGGAAAAAGGCTAAGGCAGAAATCCCAAAACCATGGAAAACACAGGACTCTGGAAGCTGGAAGTGGGTGCAACAAAGAACTAGCGCAGGGGGAATGAAACACGGGCAATATATACTGAGGGAAGCTAACAAGACACAGGTGAAGGTAATTAGGGTGGGGCAAACAATCAGACTGGAGGGGAAACAGACAAAGACAGGAAGTAACACATGAAAAACTGACCACCAATTCAATTCAATTCAATTCAATTCAATTTTATTTGTATAGCGCCAATTCATAACAGAAGTTATCTCAGGACACTTTTCAAATAGAGCAGGTCTAGACGAACTCTTTAACATTAATTACAGAGACAACAGTACCACCAGAGCAAGCACTTGGCACAAGGGCAAGGAAAAACGCCGTTAAAGGCAGAAACCAGGACAGATCGGCTCTAGGTGGTGGTGTCTGTCTGACCAGTTGGGGGAGAGAGAGAGAGAGAGAGAGAGAGAGAGAGAGAGAGAGAGAGAGGACAGACAGACAGACAGGTGCACAGCAACAACAGTATTGGCAATGGCAGTCAAGCAGGACCATGGCAGGAGGCTCCACCAGGATCCATGAGAACCTGCGAGACGAGAAAGCACAAGAACTCCGGGGAAGAAGTGGAGTTAGTAACATGCATTAAAGGGACATGAATAGTGCAGAAAGAGAGAGGAAGAGATAGCTCAGTGCACCATGGGAAATCCCCGATAGTCTAGGCCTATAGCAGCATAACTAAGGGATGGTTCAGGACTCATCTGATCCAGCCCTAACTATAAGCTTTATCAAAGAGGAATGTCTTAAGCCTACTCTTGAAAGTGGTGAGGGTGTCTGCCTCCCGAACCACAACTGGAAGCCGGTTCCACAGGAGAGGAGCTTGGTAACTGAAGGCTCTGGCTCCTGTTCTACTTTTAGAGACTATAGGAACCACAAGTAGCCCAGCATTCAGAGAACGTAGTGTTCTAGTGGGGTAATAGGGTACTATGAGCTCTTTAAGATATGAAGGGGCCTGACCATGAAGAGCTTTATAGGTGAGGAGGAGTATTTTAAATTCAATTCTACATTTTATAGGGAGCCAATGCAGAGTAGCTAGTACAGGAGAGATGTGATCTCTTTTTCTAGTTCCTGTCAGTACTCGTGCTGCAGCGTTCTGAATTAATTGGAGCGTTTTAATGGACTTATTGGGGCAACCTGATAATAAAGAGTTGCAGTAATCCAGCCTTGAAGTAACAAATGCATGGATTAGTTTTTCTGCATCTGTCTGTGATAGTATGTGTCTAATTTTTCTAATATTACGTAAATGAAAGAAGGCAGTCCTAGAGGTCTGCTTTATGTGGGAGTTAAATGACAAATCCTGATCAAAGAGAACTCCAAGATTCCTGACAGTGGTGCTAGAGGCCAAGTTAATGCCATCTAGAGTGACTATATCTTTAGACAATGAGTCTCTAAGGTTTTGGGGCCAAGAACAAGAATTTCGTTTTTTCTGAGTTTAACATCAGAAAATTGCAGGTCATCCAGGATTTTATGTCCTTAAGACATGTTTGTAATTTAGATAATTGATTAATTTCATTGGGTTTGATTGATAGATATAACTGCGTATCATCTGCATAACAGTGAAAGTTAATGGAGTGATTCCTAATAATGTTGCCTAAAGGGAGCATATATAAAGTAAATAGTATTGGTCCAAGTACAGAACCTTGTGGAACTCCATGACTAACTTTAGTATTTATGGAGGATTCATCGTTAACATGTACAAACTGAGTACGATCTGATAAGTATGACTTAAACCAGGTTAGGGCAGTTCCTTTAATGCCAATTTGATGCTCAAGTCTCTGTAAAGAATATCATGGTCAATGGTGTCAAATGCAGCACTAAGATCTAATAATACAAGTACAGAGACAAGTCCATTGTCAGAAGCAGTCAGAAGGTCATTATTAACTTTAACCAGAGCTGTCTCTGTGCTATGATGAACTCTAAATCCTGACTGAAAATCCTCAAATAAACTATTGTTATGTAGAAAGTCACACAACTCTTGGCGACTACTTTCTCCAGAATCTTAGAGAGGAACGGGAGGTTAGAAATCGGTCTATAGTTGGCTAAAACCCCTGGGTCAAGAGTAGACTTTTAAGAAGGGGTTTAATTACAGCTACTTTAAAGGACTGTGGTACATATCCTGATAATAAAGAAAGATTAATCATATCCAGTAAAGAAGTGCCAATTAAGGGAACAACTTCTTTAAGCAGCCTAGTTGGGATCGGGTCTAACAGACAGGTTGATGGCTTCGATGAAGAAATGATTGAAGTTAACTGATGAAGATGATAGCAGAAAAACAGTCTAAATATACATCTAAGTTTACATTGACAGAAGTCCCGAACTTGGAGAGCCACTGATAACTGTTGATGGCAGTTGGTGATTAATTTTTCTCTAATAGTAATAATTTTATTATAGAAGAAGCTCATGAAGTCATTGCTACTTAAGTTTATGGGGATATGTGGCTCGATAGAGCTGTGACTCTCTGTCAGCCTGGCTACAGTGCTGAAGAGGAACCTAGGGTTGTTCTTATTTTCTTCTATTAGTGCTGAGTAATAGGCTCCTCTGGCATTACGGAGGGCCTTTCTATAAATCTTAAGATCATCTTGCCAATTTGAGCGATATTCTGATAATTTGGAAGAGCGCCATTTCCTTTCAGATTTCCTAGCTATTTGCTTTAACTGGCGGGTTTGGTGGTTATACCAAGGTGCTAGTCTCCTATGTTTTAATAATTTCCTTTTATAGGAGCGATAGAGTCTAATGTTGATCGTAGTGAGCCTGTAGCACTATGACAAGATTATCAATTTCAGAGGGACTAAAGTTGTTATAGGACTCTGTTAAATTCAGACATGGCATTGAATTAAACACTGAAGGAATCTCCTCCTTAAATTTAGCTACAGCACTGTCAGATAGACATCTGCTGTAGGAAGTTTTGCCTAATGGCTTATAATCTAATAGTATGAATTCAAAAGTTACTAAATAATGGTCAGATAGGAAAGGATTATGTGGGAAGACTATTAAATGTTCAATATCAATGCCATATGATAAAACAAGGTCAAGAGTGTGATTAAAACAATGAGTTGGTTTATTTACACTCTGACAGAAGCCAATTGAGTCTATTAATGATATAAATGCATTACTAAGGCTGTCATTGTCAACATCCACATGAATATTAAAATCACCTACAATAATTACTTTATCTGATTTAAGGACTAAGCTTGATAGAAACTCTGAAAATTCAGATATAAAGTCAGAGTACGGTCCAGGAGCGCGGTACACTATAACAAATAGAACTGGCTGCAGTGTTTTCCAGTTTGGGTGAGAAAGACTAAGAACAAGGCTTTCAAATGAATTATAATTTAGTTTAGGTTTAGGGTCCATTAAAACGCTCGAATCATATATAGCTGCTACTCCACCTCCTCGGCCTGTGCCTCGAGGAATGTGAGTATTAATATGACTGGGGGTGATTCATTTAGGCTAACATACTCCTGTGGGACAACCAGGTCTCAGTAAGACAAAGTAAATCAATATCATAATCTGATATTAATTCATTCACTAGAACAGCTTTAGAGGACAGAGACCTATATTTAACAGCCCACATTTCATTCTCTTATTTTGTGCTACTGAGGAGTTGGTTTTAATTTTTATTAGATTTTTATGTTGAACTCCTCTTGTTTTTATTTCTTTAAATAGTTTAGGTGGTCGGGGGACAGACACAGTCTCTATGGGGTTTTGGGTGGGTGACTGTTCTAAAGAAACGCAGAGAAGTGTGTAAGACAGCAGCTCTGCCAAGATAAAACCAAGATAAAACAACACTAATATTTATGACAGACCTGACATCTGTATGATGAAAATATGTCAAAAGGCAAATTTTCAGGCAGGTTGATGTTTCCCACCAAGGATTTAGTATTCCATCTCTTCCTGTAATTTAGACCTTACAGTGGACACAGTGGAAAAAAACATACTTAATACATTAATGAAGGGTCAGCAGGTAATGGTAATTCACACCATCTATTATTCCACCATTTACCTCATTACACACAGGTTGTGATGGAGAGAGTACTAGAGTAGTTTACTCAAGTAAGAGTACATGGAGCTCTGTCCTTCCTCAGCTGAAGACACATCAGCAGCTTCTCCTTTGCTGCAGCTGCTGATTTGACTCCTTTCTGTTGCTCTGTTTTCACACAGTTTATCATTTCATCTGACTTTTGTTTTTTTCTTTGTTACGGAAGCAATGTGATGTGAGCAGTATCCTTTTCCTCTCTCCCCCCCCTCCCCTCTCTGCACTATTTCTCAGAGCGCTGTCAAGAGGAGATAGACAGGGTGTTAGAAGGGAAGGATCAGGCCAGTTTTGAAGACAGACATCAGATGCATTACATGCAGGTAAGGTATAATACAGGTTTCTCATAATAATTTCACTTTCATTCACATGCATCTGTAAGTACCATATTTCTTAGAGCGTAACAGACGTTTGTTAAAGGTAGGCAACCATACACCAAAGTGTAAAAGTCAAACAGTAAATCTAGTGAAAGAATCAATTTACAATCTGCTTGGGCTACAAGCCCTCTAATATACACAGAGCAGATTATAGAGCATAAACAAATGCTCTAAAATTTGGAGATCAATTGTAATCACTGCTTTTAAAAAACATTTATCATGGTCTCTTTTTGCCTGGTTGTCAGCATATTGCCGGCAGCTTCCCATATTGCAGGTTTGATCTGCTATTTTGTGGCTGAGCTTCTGAGAGTGCATTATTTTTCTTCTGCCCTAAATCAGATTAGGTTTTGCAACATGTTGTTTAAATCTCTCTTCATCCAGGCTGTGATCCATGAAGTTCAGAGGGTAGCCAACACTGTTCCGCTCAGCGTCTTCCACTGTACGACTCAAGACACAGAGCTAATGGGATATTCCATTCCCAAAGTAAGAAGCAACTGGTTTTAAATCTTTTTTCTCAGTATAGTAAAGTGTCACAGTGATGTAAATAGTTTTATGTTACCATAATCGGTTTTGTAGCAGTGTTGCAAGTGGAGGAAATGTAAGCTAACCTCTGCAGGGAACAGAGTTGAACGTGTCTTTTCTGCAAACCCTATTCACATTCAATGATTTGGTTGATTTCACCGACTGTAAAAATTGTTAAATGAAGGCAACATACTTTTCAAACAGATTCAGTCTGTACTATATCACTATTAAGTAATGGCACAAACATGACCTTTACTTGGGTAGCATAAGTAAATCTTAACCTATTAAAATTGTTTCCTGCCTTCCTTTATGCCCTTTCTTTTTTGCCTCATTTTCTCCTCAGGGTACGCTGATCATCCCTAACTTGACCTCTTTACTGAGTGAGGAGGGACAATGGAAATACCCTCATGAATTCAACCCTGAGAACTTCCTCAATGAGCAGGGAGAGTTTGTTAAACCAGAGGCCTTCATGCCTTTCTCCACAGGTATGAGAGCATACAAAACTAACAGGATGAACTCATTGTATCACACCTGGTGCTGTAGATGACTTTGTGGTCTTCTCATGTCTCAGGTCCTCGTATGTGTCTCGGGGAGGGTCTGGCTCGTATGGAGCTCTTCCTCATCACGGTCACGCTGCTGAGGAAGTTTAAGTTCATCTGGCCTGAGGATGCAGGAGAGCCAGACTACACTCCAGTCTATGGGGTTACTCTGAGTCCCCATCCTTACCGCATGAAGGTCCAACCGAGGGCAACGCAGTAAGGCGGTCTGCAAACACAGCGGAGACAGTGGAGACTGACCCAGAATAAGCATCAATAAACAGCCATTAACTCCTGAGAACAAATACAATGACAACAATAGGATTCATGTAATCTTTTCTCATTAACATAACATAAATATAGGTTTTATTTTATTCAAATTAATTCTACTTAATGAGTTCAATCAACTCATTAAGTGTCAAAAGAAACATGATCAGCATATTAGTAGACTTCCCAGCATGCCTCGTTAAAACTCTCCTGAGACCCATCTTTTTATAGTTGATGGTGATAGGAACTTGCTGTGTGTCTCTGATACACTTATAAGTGATAAGTCATGGTTGTTTGTTTTCACAATAATGAAATTATTGCAGACCATAATGACGAGGCCATGGAGAAACAACATATTTTATTATTTAACCCATTCAAAACCCAATTATGTTCTAAACACCCAAAAATAAAATATGAATACACTGTACTGTGTTTTCTTTTTCTGTCCATTCCAATTGATCATAATAGATTAAAATATGCTTTATATTTTCTCTTTGCCTCATGGTCGGCTATGCTTGATGAAAAAGGGTGTGTGGCTCTACTGCAGTTCACTTTAGATGATGTGGATCACTGTGATTGGCTTTCAGACATTGGATCAAATAAGTTTGTGCATTTGGGCGGAGTCAGATGACAGTAATCATACATCTAGACATCCTATAAAGTTACGTCTATTGGAATGGACGGGGGATCTTTTGATTTCATTAAGTGGGTTCATATATTTATATACATTCATATATTACAGCTTACTCATATATTCAAATTACATTCATTATACTTATTGCTTACTCATGTATTCTATGACATGTTTTAGTCTGGTGTGTAACATTCTTTGTATAATAGTAAATTAGGGGTACTGTAATGGGATTTCAGTTATATGCATTCGCAGGTTAAAAAAAAGAAACTTAATATTACAATATATTATCAATCTTCCCATTTTCTTAATAGAATCTATATATTAAACACCACATAACAAACAAATAATAAAATAATAATAAATAATAAAATACATAAATACAGTACGATTGTATTACGGAGTGAAAGTGACAGATTTCAACTGCAGCTTAAAAAAGCAATGTTCTTAAAAATAACCATAGAGCAGACACAGCTCTGTCTCTGTGTCAGTGAAAACCATTTCTTGTTTTGTAAAAAAAAAACATCTACAGTATTTGTATTTTGGAGCCAACCATGCTTCATTGATAACCATGTGTCAAGGTAAAAAGCTTTGACCCATAGGTAAGATATTGTATGGATAGTTGATTATATGTACCAGATAAACTGTAAATGAACCCAAACAGTGAAGACAATAACTGCAAGACGAGTGATTTGGATGAATTTTGAGCAGATTATTGAATTATTCATCAGACATGAGTTTTCCTCATATGTTTAAGAACTCTTTATACAAGTCTGTATTATGTAGTTTAATATTTATAACAATCAGCTATACTATCTAAGCAAACAGTTTTATTGAACAGAAATGAATGAAAAGCAGAGATAAAGGCCTACAGCGCAAGTTTTCGTAGGCCTTGAAGCTTTGGCGACCCCTAGTGGGGGTCCTGCCCCGCAGATTGGGAACCACTGCCATAGACTGTATACAGCATTAACAGCATGTATTGTAAAACAAATAACGTGTGTTAAAGTTACAAAAGTGTGTCACTGTCTGTGGTGCTGACAAGATGTCATATCTATTAAAGAGCGTTCTTGAGTTGTAATTATTTACCTTCTGTCGATTCCCCACACAGTATGGACGACAGTTAGAATGTGTTTTTCCAACATAATTGGATTCTTCAGACCTTTTAAATGTTAACACAGTTTGTTCACTGCAGTGTTTTTAATCTGGGGGAGAAAAGACAAGATAACAGATAGTTAATGGCTCCCTCAAGTGGACAGCATTAGGTATTAGATTTAACATTCAAGTTGATTTTTAACATATAAAAACATTTTATCTACATATCTAGATGGATGTAAAATAAATAGATTATACATTTTTTTATATAGGATTACCTTTATATATAAGACTGAGGAAAATGCATCCATATTTCTTTGACTGAAGCTCTGATCCTCTTTTTTCAAAGGCAATTTTTACTGCACAGATGAGCTACCAGGGGCACCCCATATACAGTCGTCCTTGACTCTGCAACTTCATTTTGTTTTCTCAGTTTTGGGAAGCTTATTACTTATTTTCTTCTTATTTATTAATTATTCAAATTTGACCAGGGGCCAAGAGGTCCAGCAGTCAGCTAGAAAACATCCTAGTGTAGAAAACTGGCAACACTAAACTAAACTAACTTCCTGTCTGAGGGACCTTATCAAACACAACTACTTGTGTAAAAGCAAAAACGTATGGCGCTTTAAACATGCACATGCACACTACACACACGCAGCAAGGTGTGCAAAATGAATGTAATTATAAGTTCAAAAGATGTATTGCAGTGTGCCAGAAGTTACAGAAAATGTAATTATAAAGGCCAATTAGCGATTGGTTGAAGTTCATTAGTGGGGACGAGTTATACAGTCTCATGGCCACCTGTAGGAATGATCTCCTCACCTTGCTGGTATAGGTCTTTGGCTGAATACACTTCTCTTCTCAACCAGCATGTCGAAGAGGGGTTGTGAACAGCATCTTCTTCTCCGTCAGCGCCTCCAGAGATTCCAGCCCAATCACTGAGCCGGCTTCCCTAAACCTAAACTGATTGTTGAGCTTGTTAGCGTGTAGAAGGCCCCTGCGTTCACAGCCCACTCTAACCTGTTGTCCAGAGGGTCAGGGGAGGCTGTGTAAGTGTAAATGTGTCTACTATCAGCGCCTTCGTCTTGCTGTTCAGCTGCAGACAGTTCAAACTGCACCACCCGCCAGTCAGCCTGCATTCCTCCTCCTGTTATCCACTGATACACAAAGGCAGAGTCAACAGAGAATTTCTGCAGGTGGCATGCTGTATCTGCAGTCAGAGGTGTGTAGAGTAAACAGGAAGGTGAAGAGGACAGTCTCCTGGGGGCTTCTGTGTGGCTCATCACAGTTCTTGACATGAGTCTTTGAACTGCGGTAATCCGTTATACAACTTACTTAACTGACAAAGTGTTACTATCACTTTCAACAAATGTTGTCGGTGTTTGAGGACACGAGTTGATCCTGAGATGTACGTATATGAAGTGTTTTGGTTGCATTTGTACATTTTGGATGTGAGATTGACTGTTGCATGTCAGAAATATGACTTTGCAATTGTAAAAGAGTCATAGGTGGTGAGAGCGATACTGTTGTGTGTGAGTTTTAAGGGGTTTGCAGCAATAATTCAACTTGACCCAAGGGATGAATCCTCTTTATCTTCAATAAGTTACCAGGCCTGTGTTTAGCTGCTGGCTGGCCATGTTGTATGTAGTGGCATCTCTTTGTGTTCATTATGTCTCTTGGTGCTCATTTGTGTCTTTCTGTAGTTGTCTTGCGTCTCAAAAGGCAACCAGACTGAACCAGAGATGTCTCTTCCAGCTCATAGTTTAAGGAGTTAATATGTTTTGTCATGATTACATTTAAATTCATCTATCAAATTAATTGGCTCCATATCTTCGCATTTCAGATATTTATAATCAACAACTGTTGTGATTCAAAACAGTGCAGTGTGACTCTGAAGATTATAATTATTAAATCTGTCTATGTCAGGGCGGTGTACATTTATGATGAATGCCAAGTAAGTAAAGACCAAATCTAGCATATGACCACAGTTATGGGGCCAGGGAGATGTTTAAAAAAGAAAACAAAGTCATTATGAGGTGTTCCCAAGCTTGTATATGCATTATGTGATCCCTCCACTGTGTGTTGGGTATTCAGATGGTAAATCCAACAAAAGGAGCGTGTAAAGTTGTCCCATCAGACAGGACTGAGGATTGAGGCATTTCCAGGGAGAAACAACTGCTTTAAGATTTGAGTAGTTTGAGCTGTTAGTCAGTGACAATCAAACTCTTATCTGCTGGTCGCTGCAGATATTGAGGTCACATCAGTGGTTAACAAGGAAAAGACCTTATGCAATAACTCTGCAGGCCACATGACTGTACAAAGGTTGTGTGGGTTTGTAAAGCTAATATAATGGCAGAGCTAGATTCATCCAAATCACAGCTTCATCATGTTTGCATCTGTGGCTCTACTCTTGGTGGCTGTTCTGCTCTTCCTGCTCCTGTTTCACTCCCCCAGGGCCAAGAATTTCCCTCCAGGCCCCCGACCCATCCCCATCTCGGGAAACTTGCTGCACCAATTACATTACATACATACACTTTTGGGTTCCTTGATGATGTGGATGAAATCATAAAAATAAAAAAAGATGCATAAAACACACTTCATTGAAACTCAACTGTCTTTGTTAGTCTTTACACTGTTCCAACAATCACCAACTCTGGTTTGGTCAAAATAAACTCTTAATTCACTGGGTTAGATGTGAAAATATTCTGGCTCTACATGCTGTTTTTCCCTGCTGTCTCTCTCTGCAGTTGCTGGTCTCACTTGTTCTTTAGAGGCCCCTCCACAACAAGCCACGATGAACTCAGTCAACCACTGATATCAATCTCCTAACCCTATTAGTAACATATTATATCACTTTGTTACTGCTGAAAGTAATATATTACTGTAACAAAAGTAAACTATTGTCAAAAAAGTACCGTGTGACCCGTGACACTGATAATAACTAGTTACTAATTGACGCATTGCACTGAATATAGGTCAATAACATAATAATCTACTGTGTCTCTGTCCCCAGCTGACCAAATGCTATGGTAACGTCTACAGCCTTTTCATTGATTACTGACCAACCATTGGACTATGCAGAGGGAGCATTCCACTGTGATCAATCTCAGCATATTTATTCATAATAATATATAATATAATGAATGAAATATCCATAAAACATGTCACTTAGTCAGGGGTCATCAGTTTACTAAACCAGTTAGGAACCAGTGCCGAGTTGACTGTGAAATGGTGCTGGGTGTCTGTAAAGCAGCTTTACATACAAAGGCAAAATTCTAAATGGTGGAAAATTTCTCAGGTGAAAATGTGATTGGCTTTTCTCAATAATTTTACAATAATTTAACAATCATTTGAGTAATAGCGCCACCATCGGGCCATTTTCCAACCTACCCATCAGCTTCACTGCTTGGACCCCTAAATATTAGGCTGATAATATAAAACACAAATGAATAAGTATGTTGAGATATTTTTATAGTCTTGTGCAGATTCTAAAATGTATTCTAAAAAAGTCTGTCTTCCTCCTGTCATCATACTATTACAATCTGAAAGCAGAGGTGAAAGACCTGTTGTTAAATGGCCTATAATGAATGCACTGTAAACGGAAAACACACGTAACATCTAATAGCGTTGAAGCCAATATTTGGTTCATGAGATATTACTTCTGATAAAGTGATACACTGTTGCTACTGGGCCCACCCTTCCTGTTCAAAAGTAGCTGGCACTCAAAAAAAAAAAGCTGACAGGATATTAGAAGAGGAAGTTCAGTTGCAGCTCGGTTTTAGGAAATTGGGTTACAGTTTGTTTACCTTCAGAGGTTTGATTAAAGCGAGTGTCTCATGCGTTCCTCCTGTGAAAATGACAGTGGCTAGAATATCACTCATTGAGAGTGAGTGCTAACTGTGTTGAGAGGTATTATGGCTTTACACAATTTAGGTACATGCAGATGAATACGGTATAGTGAGGCTGTGAAGTGGATGTTTCAAAGAATGATAGAGCCTCTTCTCTTCCTGCCTGCCTCATTAAAACATCCCCATCCCACAAGAACATAAAAAGGACAGCCCGCGGCATTAAATCAAACCAACTTTGCTGTCTGCCCTTCTTCTCTCTCTCACTCTCTCTTGCTCTCACCCTCTGCTCTCTCTCTCTCTCTCTCTCTCTCTCTCTCTCTGTCTCTCTCTCTCTCTCTCTCTCTCTCTCTCTCTCTCTGTCTCTGAAGTGGAACAGGTGACCCACCTTGTGGTGAGACGCGGGCGCTGCACTACCACGCCCAGTGGTGCTTCCTGCTGAATGCAGGACAAGCAGCCAAATACCAGACCACATGTGTTTATTAGAGTTACACAAACACACCCACATGCTGTTGCATGCATCCCTCCCTCCACTCCTCCCTCCGTGATAGATAGATAGATAGATAGATAGATAGATAGATAGATAGATAGATAGATAGATAGATAGATAGATAGATAGATAGATAGATAGATAGATAGATAGATAAACACAGCAGAAGGATATTTATAGTGTCTGTCTGTTGCTAAGATACCAGCCAGCTCAAAATTCTTAGACATGCAGTTTAGCTTTGTTTACAGAAATGAGCACGTTCAGTGTGGTTGGTCTGACTCTCTCTCTCTCTCCCTCTCCACAGTGAACTACCTCACAGCTACATTGTGACCACGCTGAGACAGTAACCACAGTGAGAGAGTCTATGGAACGAGAGAAAATGCTGATGGTATTTCTTTCACGGTCTAACAGTCTCTTGTTGCTACGGCAACTGTCCAGACCTCTCAGCAGCATCCCCTGGGTAACAGAGGAAGGAGGCAGTGGGTAAACAGAGGCTCCTCATGGGGAACAAAGCTGTCGTGTTGCCCTCTGCTGGTTCAGAGTGACTCAGTCAGTGTTGTAAATCACAAACTATAATAAAGCACCAATTTTACATAAAGATACAATCTTTTTCACGTGCTCTCTAGCATTTTCATAGTTGCTTTTGCAAAATCCCATATGGTGGGTTCTATTTAATAATCTTAATTTAATCCAATTAATCTTAATCCAAGTCCTAGTTAATCTCTTAAAAACAGCTGTCTTCAGCTTTCATCCACCATCTGGCTGCTTTCATTTTGAACACAGTAACTCCACCAGCACTGTCTCCATCTTCATCCTCTCTTTCCTCTGGCTCTCTTTGTGGGTGCTCTGTTTATGCCTCACGCCGGCTTGACCCACACTTGGTCCTCAGTGAGCTCTAAGCCTCTGCACCTCACCTGACTGCCCATTTAAAGCCTCTACAAGCCTACAGAAATGTTCCCCTGTCAGTTTACTAGCAATTCAGTTCATAAAGATGGTTTTGTACCCTAAAACATAGATTGCTTGAGCTGTCAAGCATTTGAGCCATCTCTGTTACCTACCTGCGGATTTACCTCTGTCTTGTCTACCTGATCCACTGTCTGTCCACACATTGTCAACTCATATCCTGATATATGTCTGAGAACTTAATTCACCCGAGTTACTTTAACAATCAAGTTACTTGTACTGAAATCAAATATTTTTTCATGCTTAAATTGATGTAGGTAATAAATTTAAACAGTTTGAGGCAATCGATTTCCTCAAACAATATGAGTTAAACTAACTCAGGTTTTACAGTGTAGATTTTCAGACAAATATACTGTATATCAGCAATCCTTGAAAAACTCCACCGGGTTGTTTAACAAAACTTAATCACTATTTCCACTATCCTCAAAGACTCTGCTTACCATCTGGAAAATAATTGAATCTGCTGCATGATAAAAATGAAAAAAAAACACAGTGTACAGTAATATAATTAAAATATGTGATCAGTTATTATGGCATGTAATGAAATTTCTTTCCAGTATTAATATTGTCATACAAAAATAATGTGTTAATGTTTTGTGTTTAACAGCAAGGATATGTGTCATTCTGACTGCCTTGATGAAGAAATACAGTCTGTACTTCAGAAACAGGTTAAGAATCTTTTCTTTCATGCACGGAGCGTTTTGTTTTTTCATTATTTTTTTTATTTATTTTATCCATTTTATTTATTTTTTCTGTAAAGATTCACATAAAACCTTCAGAACTAACAAATTGTAAGTAGTATCTGTCAGATACACTGCTTTTACACCTTTCATTTCACCCTCACTTCACCATTTCTAAT